CACTACGTGGCAGAGCTGGGCCCAGACTCCGGCTGCAGAGCCATCCCCCTGCCTGTTGCCATAAACACTACCGTGGCAGCCGGGAGCAGGGAGACCCAGCACATGGGCTGAAAATTGGGGACTGGGCAGAGAGGGAGCACAGCTTCTTCCAGCAGAGCTACGATGATGCCTTGTCTGTCTGTCTGTCTGCTCGGCAGAAATACATGAAACAGGGAGGGCAGCGGGCAAGCACCTCACCCTGCTGAAGGGCAGGGCAGGCACGGCTTCCTCGGCAGCGGTGCACGGCCAGGGAGCGTGCGAGATCAGACTGAGCCAGGAGAAAGGGCAGTGCCCACCTTGCAGATGGGACCTCTACCCATGCCAGGGGCACAGGCACGCATACCGCACTCCCCAAAAGCCCCTTCCAAGCAGGGACAGATGCTGTGCTCCAGGGCAAGACATCCTGCCCTGGGAGTCAGCGGGCAGAGGGAACTCTAACCATCTCCATCACGAGTCCAGTGTAGGAACTTTGCCTTGCAAAATTCGGGGAGCATCCCAAAGAGGGCAATTCCACAGACTTTGGTGGATGGAGCCTCATCTCACACACGCAAGCGGGGAAGCACAACAGGGTAAGACAGCACAGCCCTCAGCAAGCCACCTCCAGCCAACTACACCCACCACTTGCCCAGCACCACCAGCGACCAACAGCCACAGCTTTTGCATCCACACTGCCCCGAGAGCGGCACCCGGAGGGGGAACCGCCGTGTCTGGCAGGAGTCTGGCAGAACGGTCCCTTGCAAGGCTGCCTGCTGCTCTGTTACACGTAACGCTGCCGAGGGAAGGGGCTATCAACTGACCCAAAAACCAAAGCCACCTGGGAAACCCACCGTGGTGCAAGCCTACTGCCAACTTGGAGGACAGCAGGGGCTTACTCTTCTTCCACAGCAGGCACTGGTACCTCCCAAAAGCAGTATCTGTCTCTCAGAAAGCTGCTAGCGAGGAGACGGAGGCAGATGGAGGGCATCAGGCGCCTTGTCAAAGCAGGCTCTCGAGCTCTGGGTGAGTGGGTAAACACTTGACACTGCCAGGGCTGCCAGGGCACAGAAACCACAGCTCGCACGTCTGATTAATGCTGTCCCTTTCCTTGAAGCCCCCCCATCTGGCTCCAGCTCCATCCCACCTGTACCCCCAAGGGGCAGAGAAATGTCCCTACCCAGCACAAAGGGCCTGTTCCACACCCGGGGCTCCTGGGCTACAACCACCTCGCTCAGCCGACAGCCTGAGGTGCTTCCCTGCTATCCACAGACTAATTGCCAAGCTGGTAAAGATGGCTTTAAACTAAAGTTGCCAGGAAAGGAGAGCCTCAGTCCATCCCACTCCTACCAGCTTGATGCCAGTGCCAGCAATAGATGCCCAGAGCCTGCAGAAGGATCACGGGCCAGCAGGAGAGCACCTGAAGAGCAGCACAAAGGAATTCCAGCCGCTCCAGCCCATAAGCCAACTTCATCGGGGCCCAACTTCAATGACTCCACGCAAACGCACGTAGCACGGGGAATAAACAAGAGGAGTTAGAGATGTGCACAGGCAGGCAGGGCTGTGATCTTATTGGCATCACAGAGATGTGGCGGGATGGATCCTGCAGCTGGAGCGTTGGAATGGAAGGACAGAGCTCTGTAGGAAGGACAGGGAGGGGAGATGAGGAGGGGGTGTCACCCACAGTGACCAGCTGGAGTGCACGGAGCTCCGTCTGGGATGGATAAGGAACTGGCCGAGAGCTCACAGGTCAGGATTAAAGGGAGGGCAGGGACACGTCACATTATAGCGGGGGTCTGCTACAGGCCACCCGACCAGGAAGACCAAGCGGATGAGGCCCTCTACAGACAGCTAGGAGCAGCCTCACATTCACAAGCCGTGGTCCTCACGGGGGACTTCAACCACCCAGGTATCTGTTGGGAGGGACAACGCAGCAGGGCACTGTCTGTGATACGTGCTGGGAGGACCCTGGGCAAGGACGGCGGAGCAGGAAAGGAGGTGTATTTGTATCTCACAGGTAGTGTGGAGCAAGAGAGAGCACCCTTCTTCCTGGTGGAACGTGTCACAAGTTTGAGGCCAGGTCTCAGCACCCTGCCCAGTGCAGAGCTCAGCAGGTCAGCACATCCCAGAGCTGGAGCGTGCCCCCAGGAAACACACGGACCACAGCCCCAACTCCAGGCAGGGAAAGCCCAACACGAAGAGGGTGCTCCAGCCCCCAGTTCACGTCAACATCCCGCCACCAGAGACTCACCACAGAAGGAGATGATGTGGCTGCTGTCCTCATGCACAAACTTCCTCGTCACCGCCTCTTCCATGATCTGCTTCACCTGTTGAACAGAGGCCCAGTCAGAGAAAATGTGGAATTTCAGCCATAGACCAGAGCGAGGAGGCCTGCAGTGGAGTGGGCGCGAGATGCTCTGCTCGCTTCGTGTCCGAAAGGAAGCCTCTGCTCTCTGACCTCTCCAAGAGCCTCTAAGGGCACAAGAGGTCTCTTGGACTATCACGGCATCTTTGCTTGCCGAGCATCACCAGCTACTTCAAAAAGGTAATAAAAAAGGGATGATTTGGGTTTGAGAAACTTTAAAGTAGGAAAACTACGAGCAGAGAATTAACTGCAGGAACCAAGCATCATTTAGATACAAGACATCGTAGTAAAGGCAACCAAATCTCATATTCAACACTTTTGCAGTATTGTTATCTTCTTTCATTTTATGGGGGTTTGACAAATATCACGTGACACAGCTGTCCCAAGTGACTGTACCTATCCGTCAATGCCAAAGTCAATGATCACCTGGTGCCAAATGTGACCAGGAATGCTATTTGCATAGCAAAGCAATCAGCGCTGCCCTCCACCTGACTCTGTACTGCTCGAGGCACGTTACTGGCACTCATTTTGGTGCAATTAGTCAGAAGGAAGCTGCCGTGTAGGTTGCACATCAGGGGCACGATTAGGGGAAGAAAATAAATAGGAAGCCACATAAATCAGGAGCATAATTTTGCAGACAGGAGATGGGAGGTCAGACCTGCCGGGTAAGCAGGCTGCAGAGGACAGACTCTGGCCTTGCAGAAGCTCCCAGGACTGCCTGGCTACTCCACAGGAGTAGCTCAGAGAAGCCTCAGGAGTCAAGGACTACCAGAGCAAGAAATCCAAGTACCCCTGGCACTGCTGCTCTTCCAGTAGTACCTGTCCCTGCCAGCACTGTCACTGCCCAGCTCTCCCCTTCCCACCAAGAGCATCCCTTCTGTAGAACACAGACCCCCCTCAGTCCTGTTTCGGAGACACAGCAAGGTGACCTTGCTGGTGCTAATGAACTTGGCGTGCATTAAAGCTGTCCCAGAGCCAGCAGGTACCACCGCTGCTGTCAGACTGGGTCCCCGCGGCTGAGCTTTAGCAGCTCAAGCAGAACAGGATGATCCTGTGGGCTTGCCCTCGCCCTCCCAACGCAGAGCACTTCCCACCGTGCCCGCAGCCCCCGCAGACATACCTGAGCCAGCTCGCAGCTCTCCAGCCCACTCTCCCATGCAGCCCAGCTTGTTTCCTTGGTATTTTGGAGCTAGACAACTGGGCTAGGCAGAGCTTTGTTCCAACCCTACACAGCAACTGCAGGTTACAAATTCGAGTCACTCTGAAAGACGAAGGGGTTTTAAGCACCTTGAGTTCCTATTTCCTTCCACCAGCTTCCGACACAGGTTACCAGCACTGTCCCCCCCTTGCTGAATGTCTCCTGTTGGAAGCATGTTGTCCTCCCTCCGCATCTCCCACCGCTCCTGGCAGTCACCTCGCTGATGGGCTGAACTCAGTTATCCTCTACAAGGAGGACATTGAGGGGAACACCGAAACACGTGCTGCTGCTCCGCAGCAATGGTTCGGGGCACCTCAGGCACCCTCACGCTCTCAACAGAAATGACTTCTCCCAGCGTCCGCAGGCTGAGGGAATACTGCTCAGGATGCTCCAACTTTCAGGATGGGACTCCGCATGAAATGCCCTTAAAGCTGGATGATGTGGGGGAGTATGGTCCTGCAATGGGGGCCAAAGTGCTGCCGCGGGAACGCAGAGCAGGTCTGGGAGCTGCCCGGGCTCTCAAGCAGCACCTCCTCCGTTTGACCCTCGCCTCTGTAGGACGCAGAAGCTGCACACGAGAGATGTAGATTCCAGTGCTCAGGGAGGTTTGAGCCTTGCTCAGAAAGCACTGGAGGAGTAGGTGTTACTCGTGAGGTTGGTGGCCCTGGACCGACGGCCCCATGCACTGCCCGAGCTCTGCCAGCCACCACCCTCCAGCCAGACGGCTTCCTCCACACCGTGCCCACCACAGCCTCGCCGGCAGAGCCCTGCCAGCTCATACCAACAGGCCACAGGATCTGCCGTCCCTCTGCCCATCCCCTCCTATCACCCCACAGCCGTGGTACAAGCACCCTTCCTGGCAGACCCCGGCCGTCCTGCTCCCGAGGTGCCGTGTCTCCCCCAGCCAGCCTGTCCTACCCTGCTCGGAGCGGCCGTGACTTCCATCCCCGGCTGCCGCCCTCCCTAATCCCGCTGAAATCAGCAAAAGTCCAGCTGAATGTTTGGTCCTTAAATGTTCAGTTCCTAGCCATTTTCCCATTTAAATACAGAGCTGCCAGCATGCCCAGATCTCATCTTCTAGTGCCTCTCTAACATCTTGCTTTTCACTCTTTGCCTTCAGAAAATGCAGGGGCAAGGGTTCACGGTGCAGAGATGTGGGCGTAAGAGAGGCTCTGTTTATCAAGATGTTCTCTCTGAAGGCACAGGGAGGAGGAAAAAACAGCAGGTCAAGACTTGGCCAAGCAAACCTTGCATGTATGAGAGACCTTTAATGGCATCATTTGGGGAATTAAACTCCTTTGCAAGATACAATCAAGGTCAGTTATGCACAGCTGACAGCTCGATCAAGGAAATCCTGTTACGAACATGGATTAAGAAAAAAGTCCTATCTAAAGCCAAAAGCATCTCCCTGCGTGTCAAAGCGATCGGGTCAGCTCCCCGTGCCGGGTCAATAACAGAGCCTGCTCGCGAAGCCGGGGGGAGCAGGACTTGCGCAGTGATTTCACCTGTGTCCCGGCAGCTCAGATGAGCTGACAGCGAGTCGGGAACTCGCAGCAGGGAACACCACTGGGATGCAGACCTCGGGGCTGGAGGAGGCTCAGAGCACTGGGAAATGCCCCTGGGCACGGCACGGTCCAACTCCTGCAGCTCCAACATCCCGACCTTGCTCGGAGCAGCGACTCCAGCCGCAGGAACGCGCCGGGCACGGAGGGCTCCGCTTCCAGAGAACTGCAGAAAAGCTCCCTCTGCCTCAGTGCTTTACTGTGGCAAGTGGCCAAAAACTGCAGCTGGCCCTGATGAGGGCACCTTCAGCAAGCCCTTCATTTCAGTACGCCCCACGGGCAGTTTTGCCCCTCGTACCGCTGCCACGTGCCGAGCACCAGGGAAGGGCGCAGCCGCAAGCCTCACTCAGGCTTCACGGCTCATGTTTTATTTCAAACTCCAACCACAGAGGGAACGCTGTGAAACAGAAATGGGGACGGAGCAAGTCCCCCAGCAACGGGAGAGGAGTCCTCCTCTTTGGTTTGCTGCGTTATAGCGAGACATATCCCCTGACCTTGGCTGCAGTGGTGAATTGGAGATGGGAAGCAGGACACCCCTCTCCCACCGGCAGCCAGTGCCCAGCTGCACACCGAAACACATTTCCTCCTCTTCCTCCATCTGCCATTGCAAGTGTCTAACAGAGACATACCAATCCCTCCTTTAGAAACCCTGATGGACTAAGAACCATCACCGACAGCCCCAGAAAAGGCACAGCAATGCACGCCTCAGGGCCCTCAGGGATTCCCCAAAATTAGGCTCTCCCCGCAGGCTGAGCTGCCTTCATCCAGATGGCTCCTGGCCCTCGCCTGGCCAGGCTGAGCTTCCTCTGTCAGCGGGTCATGGGCACTTCTCCCTCACATATCCAACCAATCTTCCAGAAAAAAATGTACCCTCGTGGCCACGGCGGTCTGCTCACAGTCCCAGGGGCTTGCTCCTGCCTCCCTGCTCCTCCCCGGAGCTGCATGGACACAACTGCTCCTGGGGCCATGCTGCCAACCGCGGCAGATGCTGCTTGGGGGGGGAAAAAAAAAAAAAAAAAAAAAAAAAAAAAGCAAGAATTTTCAAACTCCAATCAGGTCATTGGTTCTTGGGATCTGAGATTTCTGCAACACTGTCATCAGGAACCACCGGGGAGCTCAGCCTCTCTATGAATCACCCAAAAGTGTAAGCCGAGAATCCGTATTTTAAACCCTCTAAAATACACTTGGGAATCAAGGCGCGCAGTTTCTTACCAGCTTCTGATTAAATTAGGAGCATATTCAAATTAAAGCAGTATATTCAAATACATGTCAGCTACCTCCCAAGCCATCGTCTCGCCGCCCCCGTGCAACGCCCGCCGTCACACCTACCGCAGGCCTGCCACCGGTGGGGCAGGGACCAGCTGGTTATTCCTTCCCTGTGGAGCAACCAGCACAGTGGGACTCCAGCTCCAAGCGGGCATCTCGGTGCCAACACAGCACAACCAACCTGCACTCACAAGGCACAAACACACACACACAAAAAAACCCTTCCAAGAGATGTAGTTTGGTGGAAAATTACTCATTAAAAGAAAAAAAGGAATCACGGTGTATTGACCGAGGTTATCACGCTAAACAAAATAAATCAAAGATATCTAAAGAAATAGAAGTGGAAAGGGCCTTGCAACAAGGGCACTCGCCCACGTGAAGGGCTAGAGCAGAACGGGAGCTGCTACACAACAAACACAGAGCCCCAACGGGTAGGAGCCAGTCAGCCAGATAGGGCCTCGTAACAGAAAACAAGAGTTATATGGAGAAAGTTTTCCAACAAAACAATCCGACATTTGCCCATAAATGGACACGGCTGGCGTCCGTAGGACAGCTCCAACCCAGGGAACCCCAAAACTCCTGACAGGTCTCCTATGCTGCTGTCTGCAGATCCCAAAGGATCAAGTGCCCTCGTTGCCAAGAAGGCCAATGGCATCCTGGGGTGCATTAAGAGGAGCGTGGCCAGCAGGGCGAGGGAGGTTCTCCTCCCTCTCTACTCTGCCCTGGTGAGACCCCACCTGGAGCTCCGTGTCCAGTTCTGGGCTCCCCAGTTCAAGAAAGATGAGGAATTCCTGGAGAGAGTCCAGAGGAGGGCAACAAGGATGATGGGGGGACTGGAGCATCTCCCCTTTGTGCCCAGCCCCATGACAAGGGGCAATGGGCACAAACTGAAGCAGAAGTGGTTTCAGTTAAATATGAGGAAAAACTTCTTGACTT